ACAGCTTGAAATCACAAGCATTACACAGCATTACACTTGCTTTTTTCATAAATGTCAAAAGCGTTCAGTTAAGCAAAAACTTTTTTGTAAACAACAAAAGTGTTCGAAGCGAAAACTTTTTTTTTATAATATATAAAATATCTCTTAACATCATTTGTGTGATGTTTATTCAGAAATTCGAATGAATGTAAAATAGTTTTGTAATTTTTATTAAATTATTTTTCTAATTGTCTGCTTAAAAATTCATTACATAAAGTTCATTATGTAAAATATAAGTCCGTTCATCATAGATTATCATAGATTATTATTTTTTGCTAAATTTTTTATAAAAAATAGCAACTGGGATTTCAAAAAAGCCGCGGGAGACCAAACTTAACAAGTTAATTGCTTTCAGTGGCTTTTCTGACTGTTAAGCGACCAGAGTTGATATTTGACTGGACCTGGGCTGGGGCGAGATGATTATGATGATGATGATGATGGTGATCATGATCATCGTCATAATCATCAGGCTTTAGTCTTCCTCTTTTATGCTGTTTTTCTAATTATGGTCAATGCTCAAACAAGCGATCATCTCTAGTACTTTATACTATAAAAACTTTTATTTATACTGTTTTTTCCTTGCACATCTAAAAAAACCTTGTAACTCTTACCCATCTTCATGTTTTCCTTTTTTATAAAACCTATAACTTTTTAAGTCTTCTGTTAACTGTTTCCTAGCTTTTTAACTTATCCTCTGTTTTAAAGTAACTCATAACTTAATATTGGTTGCTTGCTACCTTGTTGGAAGATAATTAGAGTTTAAAAGTATATAAATATATGCCATTAATTAGTAGCAGTAGGTTATTTTAACGTCAGAGATGTTGTTATATTATTCATAGAGTGATGTATGGATGAAAAAGTTCGATTGCGGCTAATAATAGTTTAATGTATGTATATAAAGGTAATATATTAATATTAGGTATGAAATTTGCATATATATGTTGCATCTATCTACCAGTAGTGGTTTAGCCTATTAGCTAATATTGATGCCTTAACAAATGGCAATTAATCAGCTTAACTATCGGTTGATTATTTGGCCAGTTATTGGTTGATAGTTGAGCTGAATAGTTGGCATTGGTCATGGCATCAACATTAGCTAATAGGTCAAGCCACTACTGGTACATATTAGGTATGTAATTTGCATATATATATATATGCAAATTACATACCTAATATTAGTATATTATCTTTATTTATATACATTAAACTTCATTATAAGCCACAATTGGTCTTTCTTATAAGTATATCACTAATTCATCGTGTATTTAATTATTTGAAATGTGTATTTTACCATGTGAATGCTAAGTATCTGGTAAGAAACACCATCTATATACTGAAACACCATACTATATACTAAGTTTTTAAAATTAAAGCTTAAAAGCTTTAAAAGTATTTAGGTCCAAATCCAAATTAAAATATTTAAAAGTAGTAGGTCTATGATCCAAATCAATGAATTATTAGGAGCCAAAGAAAGTATTACAGAGTTATTTTATATAATACAATGTCAAAACTTAGGATTATTTAAAAAGAGAAAAATCTCCTCGAATATCCAATCAGTTCAAAGCTCATTAATAACTAGAGACTGCCCCCCCTCCTTTTTTTCATGGTACGAAAGTTTACTATTATATTACCAAAGATTGTCAAAGTTTGATACATGCATGAGTTTCACACACAGTTTCAGGGTTGGAAAACTGGTAGTGTTTCCTGTTTTGTTATGTTTTGGTTAGAAGGAGAGCAACTAAAACTACCCATTGTTTTTGGAGGAAAAATTTTAAAAGAAAAAAACTATCATTGCACTAAGGTATTTGTGTTTACCTTTATACAAATAGATGGTTAAAGTGTGTTAACTAGTCTCTATACAATCCATTTACTGGACCCAAGGGTTGAATTAACTTAAATGATCGCTAATTTTCTTAAAAAAATAGTTTCCCCCTCTTTGTCTTTCTACCCTTCCCACTCTTTTTTTTTTAATGTCATCACTATCTAATATATATATATGTATATATATATATATATACATATATATATATATATATATATATATATATATATATATATATATATATATATATATATATATATATATATATATATATATATGTATATATATATATATATATATATACATATATATATATATATATATATACATATATATATATATATATATACATATATATATATATATATATATATATATATATATATATATATATATATATATATATATATATATATATATATATATATATATATATATATATATATATATATATATATATATTAACATTTTTACTCCCAACAATGCTGCAAGCAACCACTAATTAGAGTTGGAAGTTACTGGAAGAGAAAAGATGAAGATTGTAGAGCAGATGACAATTGACAGACGACTTAAAAGATTGCAAATTATATGAATCAGGAAAGCAAAATGAAGGAAGCAAATTCCAAAAAACTGATGTTCCAAGAAAAAAACTAGAGGAATAAGAGTTTTTGGAGCACTTAAAAACAGTCACAGAAAAAGGATGAGGCTTAATTGAGTGACAAGAGAGTGAATTTTAGTAGATGGCGCAAGAGATGCTAGCTCTTTAGAGCAGTGTCTATTATAGTATTTATAGAAAAGAGAAAGAGAAAGTAACATTACAACGATGTGGTAATGGTTGGAGGTTGGCTGCAAGAGCAGGTCCAACTATGTTTACAGTTCGTTTTTGCATCTTGTCTAAAAGAGAACGGGCATCTTTTGGAGATCCTCCCTACATATGGCAACAGTATTCCATACAAGGCAATTGATGATGCAATTCTTAATTAAAGTTTTATGTTAATTAAGAGCCATATAAAAATACAGCTTAATTCACACCTTTAATTTAAATTTCAAATAAATACCACTATAAACAGTGCTGTTTTTAGACAAAAAGTTCTGATTTTTTGACAAAAAACAGTTATAAAATTTTTAAATCTTCATTTAAAATTTTATAACTTTGTCTTAAATGTAAACAATTTAGCATAATAAAAAGATTTTTTTTAAAATAAAAATTTACTAAAGATTGTTTCTACAATATATTTAGTGGCGTTAAAAACAAATCAATTTTTTTTTTTTAATTAGATGTTGTTTTGTTTTTTATCTCATTCAAAATAATTAAAAAAATAATTTTTATCTCATTCAAAATAAGTTTTAATAACTTTTTTTAATGATGTTTTTAGGGGAATTACAAATTTAAATATTCAAAAAGCATAACTTCATTTTGATAATTCTATATAACAAAAAACTTAATAGTTCATAATTAGTTTACAAACTAATTATATTTTTTAAATAAAAAAAAACTTTTTTATAAATATTACAAATAATATTTATAAAAAAGTTTTTTTTTTAATTTAAAAAAATAGTTATACATTTACACTAAATCTCCATCTTCATCCGTGATATGACGTTATAAACAGAAAAAAATTCTATCAAAAGCTTAAAAGAGTGTAAGAATAGACATGTGTCTTAAATTTAAAATCAATAAAAATTATAATAACAGTTAATAATAGTTTTATGAATGGCATTCCATTCTTTTTAAATTGAAGTAATTTTTTAATTTTATGAGCAGTATGTTTTCACTAAACATACTGCTCATAAAATTGAAAAATTACTTCAGTTTAAAAAGAATGGAATGCCTTCATAACTTTAAAAATAGTAAAAAACAGCAATTATGATTTTTTTAATCAAATAATAGTCCACAAATTACATCACAGGATAGGAAAAGGGAGGGAGGGATCATGGGTTTTAGCAATTTTGTGATGCAACAAATTTTTCTTTTTTTAGTTTTAAATATAGAAAAACTTTTTATTATACAAGTGACTATCCATTAGTTAATCATTCTACTGCAACTATCAGTTGATGTATATTCACTCCACTGCGGCTATCAGTTGATGTATAATTATTCTACTGCGGCTATCAGTTGATGTATATTCACTCCACTTCGGCTATCAGTTGATGTATATTCACTCTACTGCAGCTATTCCAATTTAACTTTTATTGTAAATGACTTAAATTTACTTAAATTTTAAGTCAGTAGATTAGTATAGATACTGCATACAGTTTTATCAATCAATGATACAGTTGTAGCTGCAGTTCGCATCTCTGGATAATATGTGTTATCCAGAGATGCGAAGTCCTAAAACGACTTTATTTTCCTATTAGTAGTTCATAAACTTTTTTAAATATTTAGAGCTCATGGATACTTTTTGTGACTTTCAAATCCGGAGTCCTTTTTGAGGCTCTGCATCCCTGATTCCAATGAAAAAATAATAATAATAAAATTATTAAATAGAAATAATAATAAAATAGTTATTAAACAATGATAACAGTTTAAACATATACTTCAAAAAAAGAATATTATGTTGAAACTATGTTGGCACTTAGTTTCCTTAATTGGGTTCAAAAAGTTTCTTGTTAATTAAGTTGCTTCAAAAAGTTTCTTGTTAATTAAATTTGTTAAACTAGTTAAAGTTTTTAAAAGCAAAAAATTTAAATAAAAAGTAATAACCGCAAAACTGAAATGATTCTAAAAAACAATATTTTAAATAATAAATTGTATAAAGACATATTTTCAAATCAACAAAGGTTGATTTGAAAATATGTCTTTATACAATTTATTATTTTCAAATCATTACAAAGTCATATACATATCATTATGCAACATTATTACAAAACTACTATTACAAAGTAAAAACATTAATCTAAAAAATATCGTTTTCAGGGAGAATAAGAATATCTGGCAGAATTTCATTATCTAAACAAAATTTAAGAATAATTGTTCTAACAACTTCTGTTAACAACTTAACATCTTCTGTCTTAAAGTTAACAACTTCTGTCTCATCCTTCTTTAACTCTTATTTGTATTTTGGGAGTTTTTAGTTCTCAAAATACAAATTCTGTTATAACAATAATTGTTTAACTTTCTAAATATTTTTGTTACTAGTGACGTTATGTGTTTGTCAATGGAAACGGAAATCAAGTTTGATGATTTGAGTGATGACATTCGGGAATTATGTAAATTTCAAAATGATGAAGTTTTTACAATGAAATGGATTGATGAAGAAGGTTTTTTTTTTATTTGTTTTCAAATAATATTTTCTAAAAATATCAAATGTTAGCCCTTTTTTTTTATTAATCTAGTAATTGTTATGTTGTTTAAAAGTATATATTTTTTTAAGTACATTCTAGTATATTTTTATGTAGTTTAAAAAATGACAAGCTTGAATGATATTTTGACAAAACTAACATAAAATAAATTTTATTTATACTTTTCGCATCTTTACAAATATCAATAGAAAAAGAAGTCAAAAAATTTTTTGTTAATTATTAAATATTAATCAGAAAAATCTTGTTAAAATTTTGTTAAAATAATAAAAACAGTTTTAAAACATGTTTTATAATAATAAATGAAGTTCTTGAAGGAAATGAAATATTTCATTCAAGTTATGAAAAAAATACAATTTTTTAATATAATAAATTTTTATATCATAGAATACTTTTTTGCTCTTGTCTTTATGAATTGTCCGTACATGTAGCAGAATGAATCAACTGGATGCCAACAACCTTGATGTCATATCAAATTAATAACTTTTTGACTATGAACTATTATCCTTTCAGTTTGCAATAATACAAATTGGATTTTTGGTTTGAGACACCTGTGTTTTGGTTTGCGACACCTGTGTTTTGGTTTGAGACACCTGTGTTTTGGTTTGAGATACCTGTGTTTTGGTTTGAGACACTTGTGTTTGAGACACCTGTGTTTGAGACACCTGTGTTTGAGACACCTGTGTTTGAGACACCTGTGTTTGAGACACCTGTGTTTGAGACACCTGTGTTTAAGACACCTGTGTTTAAGACACCTGTGTTTGAGACACCTGTGTTTAAGACACCTGTGTTTGAGACACCTGTGTTTGAGACACCTGTGTTTGAGACACCTGTGTTTGAGACACCTGTGTTTAAGACACCTGTGTTTAAGACACCTGTGTTTGAGACACCTGTGTTTAAGACACCTGTGTTTGAGACACCTGTGTTTGAGACACCTGTGTTTAAGACACCTGTGTTTGAGACACCTGTGTCTTTATACATGTACAGCTACTTTTAGAATATTCAAGAACATTCTTAAAGAAAGTTCTTAAAGAAAGAAAGTTCTTAAAGTTTCTCGAAAGTTCTGGAAGTTCTTTGAATGTTCTAGAGTGTTTAGGAGAATTGTTAAAACATATGGACAACTCAAGCTGATCAGGAATATTATGGGAGGAAGCTCTGCTTTGAAAGTTTGAAATTTCATTGTCCCAGTCACAGAAGCAAAGTTTTTCTAGATTAACACCAATTTCCTTTCTGTTCTAGACCTAACGGGTTAGGAAAACACACTTTCAACCCAATAATATCAATAATATAAGATATCACCTCTTAAAAATGTATTTTACAATTTTTTAACTATTAAAGTGATAATTGATTACACTAAACTTTGTATAAGTACTTATAAAGAGCCTGGAATTTCAATCGATAATTTTTGAGCTTAAAGAACTCACTCAGCCCTTAGCCCTATTAGATTCACTCATTCACTTAGCCCTATTACATACTTATTGTTTACGTCCATGCAAAAAAAATTTAATTCCGCATGCCAAAAATTTGTTTTCCATCATACCTATGTTTGCCAAAAACCACGAAGAATGCAAAAAATCTGTTTGGTTAAAAAAGCAGACAGGAAATTGACAGAATCTTACCAGAAGAAAATTCACAAGATTATTTTAAATACTTTGAACTTTGAGTGATGATTGTGTGCCTTCTGGAATTTGCATGACTTGTCAATTCATGATTAATCAGCCAATTGATAAAAATTTTCCAGGCCTGTTCAATTTTGACTCCATTGTTGTAAATACCATCACAAGGCAAACAGCACACTGTGATTGTTTGATCTGCAAAATTGCCAAACAAATGGAAAAAAGAAACACCTTTTACAATTCAATGAAGATCAAGCTAGTCCACAAACTTATTTGTGCTTGCTCGTTGACATCCTTATCATTGTACACAAGGAAAACATCATGTAAACCTCAGAAAACTTGCATTGGCAGACCCGATAGGTGCATAGCAGATTGCATTCACTGTGATTTCAGACAAAGATGCATCACCAAGAGGAACAGTGCAGATCAGCTAACCACAAGGAATACCATTGGCTTTAAGAAAAGGTAAATGAACAATAATATTTTTCCTAAATCATATTTTAATCTTTTTTTTTTTTTTTTTAATTTGTATTCACTCCCAACAAGGCTGCAAGCAACCACTATTAAGTTGGGAGTTACTAGGAAAAAAAAGAACAGAGTTATAGAGCAAGGAAACGGTTGACAGAAGGCTTGAAAAGTTGAAGGTTGAGTCAGGAAAACATGAAGATGGGAGAGAGTTCCAAAGGATTGAAGTGCGGTGAAAAAAACTAGATTTTTTAGAGCATGCAGGGACAGATACAGTAAACGAATGAGACTTAGCTGAATGACGAGTAAAACGAGAATGAATTTTAGTTGATGGAACTAGAGATGATAACTCCTTTGAGCAGTGACCATGATAGTATTTGTAGAAAAGTGAAAGAGATGCAACTTTACAACGATGGAATAGAGGCTCAAGCTTAGCCGATAGTCCAGGTCCAACAACATTTACAATGCGTTTTTAGAAAAGAACCTTGTCAAGAAGAGAAAGTGAATTGTTATAAGAACCAGCCCAAATATAACAACAGTATTCCATACAGGGACGAATAAGAGATTTGTAGAGGTAGAGAATGGAATCAGAAGTAAGGAAATGGCGAGCACAATAAAGAGAAGCAACCTTAGCAGAAGCTAATTTAGCAATCGATTGTATATATGGTTTCCATGAAAGGTCAGTAGTAAGCAATAACCCAAGAAGACATAAAGAGGAGGACTCAGTAAGAGGATTGCCATTCATTAATATAGGAATGTTGACCATATTAGGGTAGTTGTTTGCAGTAAACAACTGGGTTTTGTTAGAGTTAAAATTCACAAGCCACTGTGAACCCCAATCTATTACTGAAGTGAGATCGAATTCAAGATCAGCTGCTTGTTCTAGGCGATCGAAAAGAGAAGACTTTTTGTCAAGACAGGAGTATAAAGTTGAGTCATCAGCAAAAAGAGCTACTTTAGATAAAAGGTTGTCAGGAAGATCGTTTATGTAGATAAGAAACAAAACAGGGCCCAGGATGGAACCTTGGGAAACCGGTTAGAAAGAAATGATTTGATAATCTCAAAAACTTTCCCAGAAGCACCATATGAAGCAAGCTTATGGAGAAGACCAGCATGCCAAACTTTGACAAAAGCTTTAGATATGTTGAGAACAATAGCCCTAGCCTCACCGCCTCCATCTAATGCATGATAAAATCTTTCAGTTACAGCAGTTAGCAAGTCGGCCGTAGACTGAGAGGGTAGAAAACCATATTGATTGTCTGACAGTAGTTTGTTTGACTCAAGATGAGATGTGAGGAATTTGTTGATCAAAGACTTAAAGACCTTGCTAATAACAGAAAAAAGACTGATCGGACGATAATTGGGGGGGTCAGAATTTTCTCCAGAGTTTTTGAATATTGGAACCACAGATGCCATTTTCCAACAAGCAGGAAAACAAGACTCAGTCAAACACTTGTTAAAAAGTTTAGAGAGAATTGAAGAAAGTTCTGGAGAACAATTCTGCAAGACTGTGACAGGAATGTTGTCTGGACCACAAGCTGTAGACGAGTTTAATTGAGATATGACTTTAGCAACAGAAGTCGGAGTGATTTGAATGTCTAACAATGGGTCAACCTGTTTGACTGGAGTGGAAGGAAGAGAATGTCCAAAAGATTCAAGAGTGGAATTAGAAGAAAAGTTCTTTGCAAATAGTACTGCCTTATCCTTGGGAAAGGTAATAAGATCAGTCCCATGAATGAGAGATGGAATGTTAGATCAACCCTTGTTAATAATGCTGTTGAAGATTTTCCAAAAGTCTTTAGAGCCTAACTTCTGTGATAAGATGGGAGATATAGTGAACTAAGAATAATGGAGTTTAGCATAAGAAAGCACCTTTTTACATCGATTTCTTGCAATAATAAATAGCGGTTTGTTCTCAAGAGAGTTGTTCTTTTGGAAAAGATGAAAAAAATGATTACGATTGGATATAGCAGCTGCACAAGAAGGAGAAAACCATGGAGTAGAATGAGGCTTGACTTAAAACAGACGAGAAGGAATAAAAGCTTCCAATCCAGCCTGAATCCAGGAGGTTATGTAGGAGGCGCATTTGTCAGCTGAAAGAGAAAAAATCAGCCCAAGGACCATCACGAAGAAAATCAAAACAGAAAAGGTGAGCCCAAAAAAGAAGTACAAGAAGAAAGATTTATAGAGATCATTGCATGGTCAGAACCATCTAAGGGAGAAAAGGGAGAAACTGAACATAAGCTAGGGTCAGAGACAAGACATAAGTCAAGAAGTGAAGGTAAATGATTAGGGTTGTCAGGAATCTGATTGGCATTACAAAATGTGAATAATATAATTTTAATTTACAATATAATTTTTAGAGCCATCAGCTGCAAAGCAACTCTTTCCTCGTCCTTTGAGTGTTCAAAATATGGTTACTGGAATGAGGAAACTTGAATCTGCTTTCACCGAGATTAGCCCAGCAAGGCTAGTTAAAACCAGCTTTCACCAAAAACTTGCTGACAGTTCCAAGGCATTGAGAGACCACTTCACCATAAGTTTCCTAAGTTTCTCTAAAAACAAGGCTATCAGAATAGATGGTGGTGGCTCTTTCTTGAAATTGAGTTTAAGCTTAACTGACTCAAAGCCTGATGAGTCTGAGTCACATAGTCCTTTTCAAAAGTCAGTCAAACTTTGGTCACTAGAGAGCTACAAAAGCACAGGGGTTAAAAAGCTGATAGTAGCAATTGCAGAAAATACACCAGAAAACTTTGAAAATATCAAGGCAGTTTTTCAACTCATTGATGTGGAAAATGCTTGCTCTCTCAGCTCCTTGGTTATCTCGTATAAAATGAAGCTTGCAAATATAGTTTGTGAACTTCAATCTTATAATAGCAAACACCCATGTTGTTGGCATAAAATTGAATCTTCAAAACTCACTGCATGTGGAAAACTTTACACCTTTGGAAGCATTAGACAGCAATACCAAAGTTTTGTCCTATCTGGAGGTGATTTAAAAAGTGCTAAAGCTTTCTTCAATACTGTTCATCCTCATTCATTCATTTGGAAGTACTTCCTCCCATGGAACTTCATTAACTTCTTGGTGTGGCCAATCACATTGTGAAAAACCTGGCTCAAAATTGGTTGAAGGCTTCACATCCCTCTTTAACCTTACCATGGTGGCCGCTACAATGGCAATGATTGCATGAAGTTGCTTAAAAAAGTGAACAAAATTTTTTGCTGAAGCTGAAAATCAGACAGAAACTCTGGATTTCTGGCGTGCTTTGAATTAATTCAAGGCAGTTGTTTTAACTTTTTTAGCTGTTCCCTTTCACCTGATTATGTTTTAAAAATAGAATATTTAAAATCCAGTTTTCTGAAGCTCCAGATTTCTGTCACTCGAAAGGTTCATCCTATTTTTCATTATGTTCAACAATTTATCAAGGTGAAAAAAGTTAGCCTAGGGCTGTATAGTGAACAAGCCAATCAAGCTTTACATTCTTGTTTCAAAAGTCAATGGAAAGATACAAAAGAGATGCTTCTCATCCTGACTACTTTCATCAGCTCCTAAACTGTGTTGTTGATTACAACAGCAAAAAAGTGTGAACCAACTGTGTGGAACTGGACCAAGATGCAAAAAATTTTGAATAAGAGTCTGGCAAATGTTAAATTATTTGGTAATTAAGAAAACAGAATTATTTATTGAGAAGCATTTTTATGTATTTTTATGAAAAAAGAGTAGTAAAATAATTCAGGAATTATTTCTATTTAATATTTAGACTTTTTTGAGTGAAATAATTTTTGGAAGAAGTCATGTGTTATGACTTGAGATAAATATCAGTTGTAAGAAAATGTTAATAATTCTGTTGGGTTTCAATACAAGTTTTTGAAATCTCATTATGAATACTTTATGGTATACAGTATTGCCATTTCAAAGAATTTTGACAGGATTTTTCATCAGCATTAGGGTCTCAAATTTTTAAGGTGCATGTCTACTTTTTTCATATAGATTAAGCAAATGGATTTTCTGCAGTCTTCATAGTAAGTATGTGAATGGATTTTCTGCAGTCTTCATAATAAGTACGTGATAGGAATATGCTGAGTGAATTCTCGAAGCTCAAAAAAATCAGTTGAAACTCCAGATAGGCTCTTTTAAACAAAATTTAGTGTGATCAATTATCACTTTGATAATTAAAAAATTGTAAAATGCAATTTTTAAGAAGTGATATCTATCATTAAATAACAATCAAATTTAACTTTCTGCACAAAATATCCAAATTAAAATGACTCTGTTGGATTTTAAACAATAATTTTTGGTGTTATGAGAATTTTATAACATACTCCATCATTGGTCAAAAGGATTTTGATGGGATATTTTTTTAGCATTAGGTCCCAGATTTTCAGGGTGTGTAGTGTTATTTAGTTATATTGTTTTATATATATATAGTAATATATTAGTAATATAAATATTGAGCAGGTTATTAATTAAGAAATAAAAATACTAAAAAATTTTTAGCAGAAAAAAAAAAATATACTTAATTTAGTTACCTTTTATTTAATTATATTAGAGCTTCAGAAAAAAGGCTTACAAATTTTTTTTTATATTTCATAATTATTAATGCTTTTTATCTTTTATAATTATGTTTGATTGTAATAGTAAAATCTTTACTAGATTGTTTTTATAACAATCAGATATTTAAAAAGTTTATTAAAAGACATCTAATTCCCAATTTCTGGTATATTCTTTTGCTGGATTTCAAACACATTTTCCATCTTTGACTGAGTTTTATACCAATGTTTTATCTTTCATTGGAATGTTAACATCATTTTTTATTGCATTTTAATTGGATGGTTTACAACTTTTTATTTTTCACTGAGTTTAAAAAAAATTTAGCTTTCATTTATTTAAAAAATGGCTTTCACTGAGTTTTAAACAGTTACATCTTTTCAGTTTTTAAACTTCATAGGAATGTTAATAGCATCTTTTTTAATGAAAGTTAAAGGTAGTTTACAGCGTTGGGATAAACTTATTAAGTTATCCCACCTCCAAAGCAAGGTTTTAAAATTATTTATTTCTAGAATATAAATTTTAATCCTTATGTGCTCTACCTAACTTCTAAAGTATTCAAACTATATGACTATATTCAACTTTTAAATTGTCAATTTGTCTGGAACCACCAAAACAGAAACCTACCTATAACTTACATCAATTTCTTTTTCAAAAGTGCCAACACTGGTTATCACCTTCGTTCCAATAGTAATTTAAACCTGTCGGTCTCTAAACACCACTCTCATAATTATGGGCATAAATCTATAAAATATCAAAGCATTAAAACTTGGAACAACCTTCCTTATGAACTAAAAGCTCTCCATATATTCTCAACCTTTAAAAACAGTTTATTCTACTTTTTAATAAAAAAATACAGTTAATGTTTATAATTTCTATAATCAATTTTTTGTTGTCTGAAGTATTATTTTTTTAATTTTTATAATATATTTTGTTGTCATTACTATGCTTATTGTTGTTTTTATAAATATTTACATTACTATTATTAACTACTTTTAACCATTATTACTTATATTAATATTGTTGTTATTATTATTATAATATTATTATTGTTATTATTAGTATTTTGTTGTTTTAATAATAATTATTTTTATTACTGTCATTATTGTTTTTATATTATTATTGTAATATTATTACAGTATAGTTTTTTATAATTACTAATATATATCTAAATTATATTTATTATCTTTATTGATATCTAAATTATATTTATTGCAGTTATTATCATTATTTTTATTATTGACAGGTGACTTAATATTAGTACTCATTACTATTTGTAAATATCCTTGATGTAAAAACTTTTATTCAGAAATATATTTGATTGATTTTTATTGCATTTTATTTTAGTCTTTCTCTGGGTTTTAAAAAACTAATTAAATATTTATAAGTTATTAATTTTCATTAATAATTTTTATTTTAATTTTTGTTCTAATTAATCTTTGATTATTTAATTATTCTTGTTTTTATTTAACAATAAGAGTTTTAATAGCAAAAAATTGCACAAAACATTAATATAAATTGAAATGTGTTTTTATAATTTATAGGTGATGCATGTACATTATCTAATCAAATTGAGTTGGATGAAGCCATTCGTTTATTTTTTGCAAATGATGAATCTGAGCTTGTTATTAACAGTAAGATGTTTTTTTTAAAAAACAAATCAATTAACAGTAAGATGTTTTACTGAATTTTTTTTTTGAAAAAACAAATCAATTATAAAATAACAACACAAAGATTATAAATGTATCGGTATTTTATAATATTATAAATATATATACTTATATAGTAATTATATACTTAAATATACTTTTATATATTATATTAAGACTATAAATGAACATATAAATACATATATATATATATATATATATATATATATATATATATATATATATATATATATATATATATATATATATATATATATATATATATATATATATATATATATATATATATATATACGCACACTAAAAAATAAAAAAATAGAGTTAAAAAGCAGAGGACTAAAAAAATTGTAAACTGTATTGTATATGTGAGTCAACAAAACATGAAGATGGGAGAGAGTTCTAAAGGGTTGAAGTGCAGGAAAAAAAACTAAATGAATAAAAGTTTTTAGAACATACAGGGAGAGATACAGTAAAAGGGTGCGACTTTGATAAATTATCAGTTATGCGAAAATAAGTTTTAGTTGATGGAACTTGTGATAATATTTCCTTTGAGCAGCAACCATCATAGTGTTTGTAGAAAAATGAAAAAGATGCAACTTTACAACAATAGGAGAGAAGCTCAAGTCTGACAGAAAAAACAATTCCAACTATGTTTATAATAATGTGTTTTTGGACCATGTTTGAAAAAGAAAGAGCATTATTAGAAGAACCAGGCTAAATATGACATCAGTATTCCATAAAGAGATAAATAAAAGATTTGTAGAGAATAGTATCAGTAAGATAATAGCAAGCACCAGAATGATAAAGACAAAATTCAGTCAAGCACTTATTAAATAGTTTAGAGAGAATCAAAAAGAGTTCAGGAGAACACTTTTGTAATACTATGACAGTAATGCTATCTGGAACACAAGCTGTTGATAAGTTTAATGGAGATATGACTTTACCAATAGAAGCTGGAGTGGTTAGAATGCCTAACATTAAGTTAGCCTGTTTAACTGGAATGGCAGGAAGAGAATGGCCATAAGATTCAAGAGTGGAATTAAAAGAAAAGTTTTTTGCAAATTGTTCTGTCTTTTACTTGGGAGAGGTAATAAAAACAGACTCATGAATTATTAAAAATTAGTAATATGTTAGACTTACCATTATATTACTAATTTTTAGACTTAATGATACTGTTGAAGAATTAAAAAAAAAAGACAAGACAAAAATCATAGAGTGAAGGTCAGTGATTAGGGATAGCTGGAGTCACAAAGTTAAGTTATCTGAGTATAAGATTGAGAAATTAAATATGCACTTGAGAATTTTAAAAAAAATTGGGCAAATATAATCTTTCAATCTTGAATAAAAGATTTTTGTGTGAATTATTAACAGAGCTTGAATGATTTTTGTGTGAAATGAAGAAATAGCAGAGTTATTAACATTTAATTATGTGTTATTAATAGAGTTATTAATAAAGAAAAAAATCAAAACCTGGAAACTGTTGGTTAGGCCAAATGCAAAAATAAATTAACATAAGCGAGACCAATTCTGTCATATTTTGCACTTTTTTCATTTTAGTGTCACCCCTCTGTGTCAGGTCATGATGGTATCACCTGGTGTGGCCCACACCCCCTAGTGATGCCACTGAATACTTTGTTTTATATTATTTATTTATGTTTATTAATTTGTTTTTTTGTTTGTTTCACTATTTTATTTTAAAATGATTTTTTTTCAGTTTTTAAAGGAGCACCAGAAAAGCCTGGCATGTTATTGCCAGGAGAAGATCGTAAGTAATTATGATTTCTCTCTTTCTCTCACTCATGTATATATTAGGGATGGGCTGAAAATTACTTTTTTTTGAAAATGACTGTTACACTCATTGGTTTGTTCTATATATTAAAACAACACTAAATTTAAAAATTTTTTAAATAAAAAATATTTTAAGGGGTACCCATCAATATTTAATGAGTAAGTATTTTCAAATCTTTACCAAAAGTATGTTAACCTGGTACTCAAAAGTATGTTAACCTGGTACTCAAAAGTATGTTAACCTGGTACTCAAAAGTATGTTAACCTGGTACTCAAAAGTATGTTAACCTGGTACTCAAAAGTATGTTAACCTGGTACTCAAAAGTATGTTAACCTGGTACTCAAAAGTATGTTAACCTGGTACTCAAAAGTATGTTAACCTGGTACTCAAAAGTATGTTAACCTTTATAAAAAGTTCTAAAATAAAAATTTTATTTGAAAAAAATTTGAAAAAATTCATTTAAAAAATATTAGAAGAACTTTTTTTTTAAATGTTAAAAACATTTTAAAAATAAACCTTAGGCGCCATAATGTTAATAAATAATTTTCTTTATGTAAAATGTATTTAGAAATTTTTATAAAACTTTGAAAAAAGGAACCTGTTAAATATTCAAGGGTCAGTGGGTACCCCTAAAATTATTTTTTATTTGAAAATTTTTAAAATTCAGTGTTATATATGAAATTCATATATTAAATTCATACATTTTGTGCGATTTAATGTCATTTATATATGAGTAACTTACGGAAAAGTTGGCGCTAGATGATTCCTGGCATGTTTTTTTTAACAAACTGAACTTAAGTATTATACTTTAATTACTTTACTTGTTTGCTATGGTTTCTATGGTTATTATGGTTGCTATGGTTGCTACAATTGTTGAATAAGACTTTTTTATATCTTCAAAATAATGAAACAAACTTTATCTTTAGGACTATATAGAAGAGGTGCTAGAAGGTGGAGAAAAATATATCAATTCAGTGGCCATTCTTTTGTTGCTCGTCGATTTGGAAAGGTATTTGAAATTTCTGTTTATTTTGGAAGTATTATAAAAAATTGAAAAGTATTATATTATTAAATTATTTTAAAGTACTGAATGTACTTAAATCTACTGCTGCAGATGGCTGTTTCATTATAATGTCATCATAAAGTTGTATGCAAGGCTAAGTATGCAAAAATTCTTGTATTGTATATCAAAAAAGGGATTGAGGTAGTGCATGTGTGTTGTCTTTCAGTGTGCAAGCTGTTGTTTAGTAATTTAAACAAATATTTATTTATTTGTGCTAAGTTGGGTAAAGGAGGCAACATTTCTCAGTTGAGCTTCAAAAAATTTTGTCCTAACAACACAAGTTGGTTTTTTAATGTTGGGATAGGGTTATCATAGCATAAGCAAACTTTGACATGCTTTGGAAAAACTTGACAAGCTCCATAAGTTTCACATGAAGCTTGTCAAGTTAAAAGCAATAGGTTACTGTCTGTATTGTAATATTCAGTTGAAGCAGTTTGAACAGTACACAATGCTGCACATGTCCCCATAAACAAAGGTTTAGATTAGCGAGGTTTCAGTTAATTTTTAATATAAATATGTTGTATATAAAGTTCTTTGAATTACGAGAATAAGATATTGTATGTGTATTAATTGCAACATATTGTTACTTTTTAATATTGTTAATGATTCTTTTTAATTTTAATTTGTTTTTTGCTTCTAAATTTATGATTAATTTTTCAGATGACACCTTGTCCAATCTGCAAAGATTTTATTTGGGGGCTTGGAAGGCAGGTAAGATCATATGTATGTATGTATGTATGTATGTATGTATGTATGTATGTATGTATGTATGTATGTATGTATGTATGTATGTATGTATGTATGTATGTATGTATGTATGTATGTATGTATGTATGTATGTAGGTACGTACGTATGTATGTATGTATGTATGTATGTATGTATGTATGTATGTATGTATGTATGTATGTATGTATGTATGTATTAGGGCTGTCCAAAAAAAATTTTTTTTTCAGATTTGATTGCATAGTTGTTTATTTTGTGCCATTTGACATATTAATTAACTGTGCAAAAAATCTTTCTGATCAGATAATGTTTAGGGGGTGCTCAATGACCATAAAGTTTTACGAAAAATGTGAAAAACATGGAAAAAGTAACAAAGTTCCACAAATTTCTAAAAACCCGGTTAATTAGATTTTTTAGATTTGATCAGTTTTAATTATCTCTAAATATTAAATTCTGAATACAAATTACAATCCACATCGACTTTATACTGGTTTATTAACAGAGAAATTAATGAAATAAAATACTGCAATACGACTAAAGTTCTGCGGTTTTTGTTATATCAGAATTTTTCCAAAATAAAACACTAAGATTTTTGACTCTTTGTCATTGATTAAAATACGAATTATAAACAAAAAAAATTATTGTAAAGGAGTAACAGTTTCTCAAACCATTATCAACTACTAAGTAGGTCAACTCAAAAACATATGAGCAATTAACATTTAATTATCGTAATGTTATAGTTCGTGCAATGTTAATGCTAGCGAGGACTATAACTCTTCAGAGTACACTTTCTGGCATCTGGCACTCGCTTTCTGTGATCCTCAACCACCTGAATTAACCTCTGCATTTCAGATTCATTCCTTGTAATCGATTCATTAAACATCGATATTAAAGCCACAGATCGTTCGGCAGCATCATTTACTACTTTCAATGAATATACTAAATTTTTTCCTTCTTGGTATTCTGGGAAATCATTCCAGGTAGCTGGATCGTTGTTGAACAGAAAATCAATATCAACCTTCATTGACCGCAACGCACTTGCTGAAACTGATGTCACCAGCATGTCCAGAGATTTCTTCTCTAGACTTTCAATGTTCTTTAATTTGATCAACCTTTCAGACCAGTTCTCACCGTGAAATTTCATGTTGGTATCATTTTTCGCTTCTCTTCCGTTTTAAGTTTGTTTGAAAACAAAGCTAGTGGGACCAATTCTGGTGAAAGGTACCAAAATGGTTTTGAAATTTCTTGACTGCTGCTTCGGAAATCGTTTTATTCACATCTGCAAACTGCTTAAGTTGCTGAAACAGAAACTGGAGCATCGCTGGCATTTGGGCATGATATCCAAGATTTTACATAAACCAGACTAGCAAATAAGCAAAATTCACAGAGATTTTTTTCCTCTTTTGTGGTCAACTTGAGCTCTTCACGAAATAAATAAATCTTAAAACAATAAATAACCTTGGCCATCCAGCGAGCCATGTGGTAAGCACCAGGGATCTTGAAATGATAATTTTTCTCTTCTTGATCAGGCAGTTTTCCAAGTATTAACAGACAGAGATCCATGATTTCTTTGTAGTCATCCCTTGGCATTTTAACATGCAGGTTTTCTTTGAGGAATGCCATCACTTCATTTTGTAGTTCTTGCACCAGGGGTATTTTCATTCGAATGTCATCCAGAGGTTTAAAATTTCCTTGATTAACTTTGGGCCAATATTGCTGAAATCTCTGGAAAAGAGGTATGTTGGGACCAGATGATGGTCCAAATAGTGATCCAAACACTCCTGCTACTCTGATCTCATGAACATGGTGTCTGCAAGCAAAATATAACAAATTTCTACCTATATGTTTCTCTAGAACTACACATGCACCATTTTCGGAGCCAGTGTTAGAGGCTGTAGTATCAAAACTCATTCCAATAACATCACCAATTATGTCCCAGAAATTAAGCAGATGAATAACTGCTTTTGCTTGGGCTTCTCCAGTTCCAGCTGATAGTTTTGCTATTCCAAGTATTTTGTCAACATTGTGACCTGTCACACCTACAGATAGCCGGTCAACATTTGCTTTAGGGTCTGCAGAATTTGTACGATCTATCATCAGTTTGCCATCCCAGTGGATGATTAATGGTGGTTTGTCCAAATCGCAGAATTCAGTTCGAACAGTGGCTTCAATGTTTGATCGATGATAGGTTCGTTTTCTACGGACTGTAGAACGTGACAATGATCCATCATCGAGGTTAGGTCCACCAGCCCTTGCAATTGCTGCTGCTAGTATAGTAAATTTTGTGTCAGATAGATTAATTCTGTCTAGTGTTGATGAAACATCAGGCGAGTCAAGAATTGTATCTAAGATACATTGTCGTTTTGGAGTACTTGCTAAACTTGATTCAGCTGACCCTGAAGAACTTGCTTTACTGACTTGTTGTCTGTAATAAACAGGGATTTCTATCTCAAAATCTCTATCAACCATTTTGTCATTATCAACAGCATCGTTATCGTTGTCATCACTATAACTTTCATCATGTAAAGGTTCAATAACAGGAACTATTTCACTCGCACCAGATTGTCTTTGCTCTTCTTTTAGCTTTCGTTCTCTCTCTGCTTGTTTCCTTGCTTCATTTCTTGCTTCTAATTTTGAAAGTTCTTTGTCCTCTCCAAACATCACCATTTTTCTCTGACATCTCTGATCCAATAAAAATTCTTTATCTTCTTCAATTCTGATCATGGTTTCAGCATCCTTGTGGGCAATGTCAAAAAGTAGGCCAATGGTGTCTGTAAATGATTTCTCTCTTGATTTTTGAGAATCTGACAATCTGGATTTTTTATTAATTTAAATTCCTGGACTAAAGTTTTCAACTTTAAGACTACATTCGGATGAAATACTGTCGGAATACGGGCTTTATTCCAAATAATAATCAGTTCATCAACAGTTGTTTTAAGATTTTCAGGCACTGACTTTTTGGTTGAATTAAGATGATAAAAAAATGTTTTTAAAACATCAGATGTTAAGGGAAGAACTTTATACGGAAGATTTGGCTCTGGTTGTCCAATTAAAAAGATTTCGGTTTGAAGTCGTGTAGAGATAGCAACACGAGATGATGCTGCCATTTCAATGATAACTGAAAAATTATGAGAAAATCAAAACTCAATACCATATTATACAAACTTATCATTCAGTTGTTGGTTTATGCAGCTGCAGCAATATATAATAATAATTATTACTAAAGAAATTAAATAAATATTTTCAAATTAGAAATTATTATTATCTGCACTTTTTTTTTTTTAATTTTAATTCACCTCCTCAAGGCCGAGAAGGCCACTACAGACGAGGAGGCTACTTATTCATGGTTATAACCCTCTCTCAACTCTATAACTCCGAAACACGAACCTTGACGAACAAGGCCGCTGCGCGGAGAAACGAGTTGAGCGCGGTACTACCAGGGACGTGATGGGGATCGAACTCGGAACCACTCGTTTATGAAGCGAGCGCTCTACCACTACACCACTACCGCATATACTTAATAACAAACAATACACTACCAGACTACCATGCTAGTTTTCTGTAATAGGTTACTAAGGTTAGGTACTATCAAAATATTAATACATTTGTTGTCAAACTGAAATTCCAAATAAAAATAATATTTATACTTGTAAACCTTTTTATTCTGTTTGAACAAATTCTAAATTGAGTTAAATAATAGTATTAAAATTATGAATACAAATTTTAACAAAATGATATAAACACAGTTGTTTTAAACACTAGCAGACATTTTTTAGTCTGGTGCCCTGATGACAGTTAATCTGCTGCACTTTAATTAATCTATATAGCACGCAATCAGACAATATTTCAGTGGAAAAATCTAACTAACCAGGTTCTAGAAATTTTTGGAACTTTGGAACTTTTTCCACGTTTTTGACGTTTTTCGTAAAACTTTATGGTCATTGAGCACCCCCTAAACATTATCTGATTGAAAAGATTTTTTACACAGTCAATTACTATGTCAAATGGCACAAAATAAACAACTATGCATTCAAATCCGAGAAAAATTTTTTTTCCTGTGTTCACATGAACAGCCCTAATATATATATATATATATATATATATATATATATATATATATATATATATATATATATATATATATATATATATATATATATATATATATATATATATATATATATATATATATATATATAACATATATATATATATATATATATATATATATATATATATATATATATATATATATATATATATATATATATATATGCCCTAGTATGTATGTATGTATGTATGTATGTATGTATGTATGTATGTATGTATGTATGTATGTATGTATGTATGTATGTATGCATGTATGTATGTTTGTATGTATGTATGTATTTATGTATGTATTGATAAATAGACAATGCATTTAAATTTGTGTTAAAAAAACCTCAAATTTTGAATAATAACCTTTAACATAATGGTAGGGTGTAAAATGCATGAACTGCAAGTATATGGTGCATAAAAGATGTGTACGAGTTGTCAAACTTATTTGTGGTCAGCAGGTATTTTATTTTATTGAGTTTTATTGAATTCATAAACTATAAAACACTTAAGTTTAAATTATGAACATGAAATTTTCTGTATAAAAAATTGTTTTCTTTTGATTTATTTTGAGTTGTTCTTTAGATTTCATTTCTCTGATTCTTTTTATTTATTTTACTTTCTAACATTTGAAACATTTTTTTTTTTCAAAACCTTTTTATTTAAATAACCTTCATGTTAGTCAGGTTTATTAAATTTTTTTTGAAAAAATTCTCATAACTTTAGACTTTTTTTGTTTAAAAATTCAAAAATAAAAACTGATATATAATAGTTATATTCTATAGTAGGCTTTCCAATTTAATGAAAATTGAGTTGTTTTATACTAAAAAAAAAAGTTGAAAATTTAAAACTTTTTTTGAAAAAAAATTTTGTTCAATGCTTTTAATTTTTTTACTTTTTGTGGATTTCAGTTTAACTTTTACAAATTTTCATATAAATAAGACAACCATTACAAATTTTTGTATAAATAAGAAAATAAGTTAGATAATAAATACTCAAAACAAAAAAATTTGAAAAATCAAAATTGCAAAAATTTCTTAAATTTGTAAATTATTTTGGGTTAAATGATAATTCAAATTATACAATACGTAAAAATACTTTGGTTAGAATTATCTATCAAATGAATAATATTATTTATATATTTATAAATATGCAATTCATTTATATATATATATATATATATATATATATATATATATATATATATATATATATATATATATATATATATATATATAATTATATATATATATAATTATATATATATATAATTATATATATATATAATTATATATATATATAATTCATATTTTATATATATATATATATATATATATATATATATATATATATATATATATATATATATATATATATAATTCATATTTTATATATATATATATATAATTCATATTTTATATATACATATATATAATTCATATTTTATATATACATATATATAATTCATATTTTATATATATATATATAATTTATATTTTATATATATATATATAATTCATATTTTATATATATATATATATATATAATTCATATTTTATATATATATAATTCATATTTTATTATTTATTTTATATATATATATATATATATATATATATATATATGTATATATATATATATATATATATATATATATATATATATATATATATATATATATATATATATATATATATATATATATATATATATATATATATATATATATATATATATATGTATATATAAAATTGGTCCTACCTGAAATGGTTGACCACCAATGTAAAAATAATTTTAAGACCAAAAATGTTGATATCAAATGATTTTAGATGCAGGTTTGTTCCTAATATTTAGGCCAAATTCTGAAAATTATTAATAGACCTAAGCATTATTAACCTTTATATAGAAGGGGACATTTCAATTGATGCCCTCCCCTCTCCTCATCTAGTTTTTAGGTGTATACCCCCCATTAGTGGGGAAACACCCCAAATATTATTAATTTTATTACAAATCATGTTATAATTTTATTATAAATCATGTTATTTAAAATCACTTTATTTTCTTTAGAAAAAAATACATCACTTAGCAATATAAATATTGAAATTATGATAACAAATATGATGTTATGATAACAAATATGTTATATTTTTGATTGCTAGTAGAAGTTCTTGACGATCATCCTCAACTGTTTAACTAAAGTTTGTCCTCCATTCTAGTAAGACTCAGTAAACTGAAGAAGAACTAAGAGTTCTCACCAATCAATGGAGCAAGTCCTGGTGATTCTTGTTTAAAATGCAGCTCTTTAAACAAGTTTTGACACCTCTGAATGCTGAAACATTGTTGTGCTTTCAATACCATTTAGAACACTCTTGCAACCAGAGTCATATTTTTCCATATGCTTTTTGTATTGCACAATTTACTAGTAGGCTTTTACATCCTGAAATGGTGCAGTTAAAGGTTCTTAAAAACCAGACAGAGTAGAAAATTGAGATTCTGTTATTACCTTCAACTCTTTTTTTTAGGAAGCAATCAAATCATAGAGCATCTGTATGCTCAATATCTTCAGATATAATCTAATATCTGAATCTTTAGATATTAAATGGCTTTTGACATTATTCTAGCATGAAAAACCCAGCCTAAAGTTTGAATTTTAGAAATAATTTAAGGACACAGGTACATCAGGGTAATCTCCAATAATTCCATATAATCCAATCTGGGAAATGTCAGTGCATCCTTGCAAAACTGGATAGTTTCCTCAATCTGGGTTGCCAAGAAAGTAAAACATAGTAAAAACATTCTCTTAACAATGTATAGACAAGTTCCAACCTTTGACTAAAACTAATATTAGTTCCTGAATGCATTCCAGTTTTGAGGCAGTTGTGTCAAAACATGATCCCTTCACACCATCACACATTTCATAGTCTTCCAGTACATAAACCAAAGCTTCATCTCTCGCTTTGATCTCTCAAATATTTCATATCTGTATGATAAAAGTTCTTTTTTTTTTCTAGGTTAGTCTTTTTTAGAATATCTTGGATATTTGGTTTAGCAATCCAGAAAACCTTCTTTCCTTTCTTTTTGAAATCTTGTCTAGCTTTTCCTGCTTCTTTGAGTTCTTACACTTAATTTTCTTTAAACTCTCCCAGCTGTTGATCAGATCAGGAATATGCATCCTGTAATAATATATATAAAAGGTTTAGAAAATGTTATATTATACTAAATTTTTTACACTTCAATGTGGTTATTTATAATGTAAACTTGTACTGCTAAGTTGTATTTAAAAAAATTTCACCAGAGATGATAGTATTCTTTTTTAAAGGTACTGATCACTATTTTTCAACAAAAACTAGGAGAGGAAGTTTATTCATTATTTACTAGATGTTAGACAGTGGAAATATTCCATTTACTAAACCAGTGAGCATCTATCTGTTGAACCCCATTTGACAAATAGTGACCTGTACCTTTAACTTGAATGTAATTTTGTATGGCTTACCTTATAAATGATTTAGTGAGTATTCCATGTTTGTATCCTTTGTCTATCCAAGGTTTCTGCAAATAGAATTCAGTTTTCAGGACAGCTATCAAGACCATAATACTTTGCTGTTTGATGTTGAATGGTACAAGCAATCAGCTTTTTTGTTGGAGTTATTTTATCCCCAGATTTTCTAAACTGTCTTTAGAATAATATCTGCATTTGTTGAAAACATTATTTCTGGTAGGTTCTCTTTAAGGTCCTCTTCTTCAAAGCACCCTTGTTTTAAGTCTTGTTGATCCTGGCGTCTTGGTTTCTGAAAATGTTATTCTTAACAGTATTTTGATTTATAAATAAAAAATAATAAATAAATAAAGTAATAGATTCTTTGCTTAAAATACAGATATTTAACATTAATAATTTTGTAGATAAAATGTTTCTTATGTTTCAATTAATGGGGGTAACCCTGATTAATTGAAACATAAGAAATATTTTATCTAAGTGACTGAGTATGAATTTAGCTTTAATGTAAATTTTGGGATGACAAAGATATTATATGAGAATTTAGTAGGACATTTATGGCTTCTTTTTCTAAAATAAGATTGAAATATTGGTGGAGATATTTCAATCTTATTTCAACAAGTCTTTATTTTATTTTGCGTATAAACTGTAAAAAAAGATGTATGTTAATTTTGTATTTAATGCTACAAGTTTGCATAATAGATGTTCCCAAGACACTTTTTTACATACTTCAAAGAAAATTCTACAGGCATGTTTTTGTTTACTGTAGAGTTTTTTAGGCTTAGTATAATTTGTGCTTGTTCAGGCTGTTACCATAGCTAGGTGATTTTGTATTAATGAAAAATATAAACTTTTTAAGAACATGATATTTAGGAAAGGTTTTGTTTTATACATTAATGAAATATTTTTAGAGAGCTTTCTCTCTAAAGTGTACAAGAGATCACACCTAAAAAGTTTATGAAAGTTTATCTTTTTATATTAGTATTGTTTATTTTTAAATCAGGAAGTTTAAGAGAAATGTTTTTATTTTTATTTGGTTTATGGAATAGGATGAATTTAGTTTTTTTGACATTCAAAGAGAGTTTGTTACACATGAACTATTTGTTTATTTTATATAATTCTTTGTTAACTATGTTAAAAAGATGTCTTAATGTCTCTACGTGAATAAAACAAAAGAGTCATCTGCAAATAAGATTAAATCTAATAAGTTTGATGTTGAATATAAATCATTTATATAGAGTAAAAATAATAATGGTCTCTAGAGCCTTGGGAAACCCCGAAAGTTATGGTGCTTTTTGTTGTTTTTGTTGTTTCATATTGAATATATTGCTTTCTGTTTGATAAATATTAATAATTCAGCCCAAGTAAGTTTTTTTTTTTACTCCATATACAAATTTTTTCAGAAGAATGTTGTTATTTATGGTGTCAAAAGCTCTAGAAAGATAAATGAAAACTCTTAAAGTAAAGAAAAACTATACTAAAAGCATTAGATATATGAGTTATTAGCTTAATTTTAGCATGGTCAGTTGAATTGTTTTTTAAATCCAGATTATTTTCCGTCAAATAATCAATGGTCTATTATACATGACACATTTGGAAAAATTAATTTGGAAAAATTTGGTATCCATAGCAACTGTAACTGCTCTATAACCAGTAGTATCAAAATCATCTCCAGATTTATAAAAATAAGGACATATATTTACTTTAGACTCAATTTTTTAATTTATCTGTGACAATACCTGATTTTAGTGAAAGATAGGAGATGCAATGATGGTGCAATGATATCAAATACTGATTTTATGACAAAGCTACTGATATTATCAAAGTTCGCACTTTTGCTGTTTTTTAGAGTGTTTAAAGCGGATCGCAATTCAATCTAGATTCTTTCATAATCTTTCATTATCTTTATGCTTCTTTCATAATCTTTACTGATATAAGGTTCTTATTCAAGTAAAAATGAAATGTTGTAGAACTCAACGGAATTTATGCTGATAATTTGTGACCCACATCAAGCAAAAGGCTATTTAAATATTCAGCTAATGTTATCTTATTACTATCAATCAAAAGTTTTTTTTGCAGTTGTTCTTTTCGTACAATTAATATTACTCTATCAGCAATTTTAATTAATTAATATTATTTTATCAGCACAACTGTTTAAAAAATTTTTAAATTTTAAAAATTATCTTCATAAAGCAGATATTTTCAAAAAAATAAAATAAATTAAAATTATTAATTTTTTTAATTTTAATAATTAAAATTATTAAAATTATTACTTAAAATTATTTTTATATGATCAACATTTTTGGGCTTAAAATTATTTTTATATGATCATCTATTCCTGGTAAAACCAACTTGATTTTAAAAAATAGGAAAAATGTAAATCACCCTAACATACATATATATATATATATATATTTTGCTTTTTAGATACCTAATCTTACATTACCTCCTTCTAATAATAACATGGATACAACTGGAATTGTGAATGAAATTGTCTCTTTAAATGGTTCTGTTAGAAGTGGTATGATATAGATATGCTTAAAAAATAAAATAATAAAAACAATATTATTAAAAATAATTATAAATAATAGAATTAAATATATTTTTTTAAATATTTACTTTTGATTAACAAGAGTTCAACAACCATGGTGAAAACGGTGAGAACAACCATGGTGATTTAGTGAGAACAAAATAACTTTGTGTGATCATTTTTGAATAAAAAAACAAAATAACTTTGTGTGATCATTTTAGAACAACTGTGTCAGGTTGATTGTTGACAAACATTTGTGTGATAAGAAAAAATTATTTTATGTAGCATAGTTGGAATAAATGTGTGAAACAACATGATTAATAATAATAAAAAAGTAATCCAATTTAAAATACAGAATATCCAGTCTAAAATATATACAGTCAAATTTATTTTGTTTATAACTTTTTATTGGATTTACTAAAAAATTTACTAAACAATAAATAAAAACTTTTGTAATTTTTACATTTTTAATTTTTTTAAATCTTTATGAATTTCAGTCATATCACTCAATTATTATTGTCTAATGTATTATGATGAATAAATCGGTCTCATTTAAGCACTGATAAATTTTTTATTACATTCTTCATTACAATGCATTATTATTAATTTGCACCAGTGATGTTATTCATATGTTAATTTAGTTATTTACTGTTTCATTCATCTGAAAATTTTTTCATTAACAGTATTGAAGCATGAATGTTATTGAGTTATTAACACTTGAGGTGTTGATTTGTAATTGTTTGTGTTCTTTAATAATTTATATGTTATGTTAGTTAATTATTATTTTTATCAAGTAGTTATTATATTTGATGTTTGTAATTTTCAGGTCGAAGTCCAACTACAAAACGTAAAGGATTAATGAAAACAGATTATGAAGATAGAGATATTGAACCATCAAATGGTTTTCGTGTTAGTCTTAATGATTTTGAATTCATACGTGTTATTGGACGTGGAAGTTATGCTAAAGTGATGATGGTAATTTTTTTTTTAATTACTTAACTGTTTTTCTAATTGGATAAGCTTTAGGCTACTTTATGTTTTTACCAATTGGTTTGCTAAAAATATAATTTATATATTTTTGATTAAAAATAAAACTTTTAAATATCTTTTGATATTTAGGTACGATTAAAAAAAACTGATCGAATATATGCAATGAAAGTGATTAAAAAGGAATTAGTTAATGATGATGAAGATATAGACTGGGTACAAACAGAAAAGCATGTATTTGAAATTGCTTCCAATCATCCCTTCCTTGTTGGTCTCCATTCTTGCTTTCAGTCCAAGAGCAGGTCAATTGTTTTACTAGTAATTAACTTCTTTATCAGCACTGAGGAGTTTTTTGTAGTTTTTTTGTCATTCACTTTTTATTTTGCTTTTTATTGTTTAGATTATTTTTTGTTATTGAATTTGTAAATGGTGGTGATCTGATGTTTCATATGCAGAGAATGAGAAGGCTGGAAGAATCTCATGCTAGGTTAGTTTTGTTAGAAAATATAATATAAATTTAAAATTGCCCTTTTTTTAAAGTTACAAAGTTTTCTTTAATTGTTCTTTTTTTTTTTTTTGGTTTTTTTATTGGGTCTTTTTTTTTTTTTTTTGAGGTAGGGGTGCGGGGTTAAAACAAAGTACTCTTTTTATATGTAAAGATTTTGTGTTTTACAATCAATGCTTTTTTATTCTTTTTTTGTATGTTATGTTTCCTGTATTTGTTTTTACCAACCAATATTTTTAGTGTTTTTGCGTGTGTGTAAGTGTGTGTGTATATATATATATATATATATATATATATATATATATATATATATATATATATATATATATATATATATCAACCAATATTTTTAGTGTATATAACTTTCACTGAATGGAGAAAGCTTTTAAAAACAAAAAAAAAATTAAATTAGAAACAACATTTATATTTATTTTACTAATTTGAAATTTTTCAAAGAAAATAGGATTTTAAAAAAACATAAAAAGTCCACTGTATGGTGGCTATAGTCAGTATTTACAACCTTGATAGCCCTATGCCAAATCAATTTTCAGAGCTCTCAAAAGTATTTTGCAAAATTAATTTGAGTGAAGAACTAATATATAGTTGATATTGTATAGAACTGTTTGTTATTTGCTCTTCTATAATTCTTTACAAATGGTTTTTATATACAGAATTCCTTTGCACAAATTAATTTCTAATCAAATTTTAGTACAGTAATGATTGTGAACTTTTAAAAATGTTAATTTTCTAAAAAGAAATTATTATAAAAATGTTATTAATTTTCTAAAAGGAAATTATTATAAAAATGTTATTAATTTTCTAAAAGGAAATTATTATAAAAATGTTATTAATTTTCTAAAAGGAAATTATTATAAAAATGTTATTAATTTTCAAAAAGAAAATTATTATAAAAATTACTATAAAAGAAAATTAATAATTGCAATCATGAAACTTTTTTTAACGTTATTATAACCATAAATTTATTATATATATATTTAAATTTATAAAGCATAAGTTTATTATAATTTATTATACCGGTTTTGAAAAACCCTCAGACTATAATATTCTACCTGTCAGTCAATGTATGTACTGAATATATATATATATATATATATATATATATATATATATATATATATATATATATATATATATATATATATATATATATATATATATATATATATATATATATATATATATATATATATATATATATATATATATATATATATATATATATATATATATACAGTGTTTCAGTAAAATTTAGAACCGCTTACATTTTTTTCAATACTCGACAGAAAAACTTGAATAGAAATTAAATGGATTAAGATTTTTCCAATATTTTTTTTTATTTTATTAAATAAGTTATGTTTTATAATTTAAGTAAAAAAAAAATCTCAAAAAAATATAAAAAATAAAAAAAATTAAAGAAAACAAGTAGTCATAAAAAATAAGGGTAGCAAAAAAAATCAGTTAAATATAGCACATTTCAAAAAAATTCAAATTTCAATATTTAAAAGGACCACCGCAGGCTTTTATACATGAAAGAACTCTCCTAGGCATAGGCTCAATCAATTTCATGCAGAACTCTTTTGGAATACTCTTCCATGTCTCTTCTATCGCTTGCTTTAAGTGCTCAACTGACGTCAGCTTGATGCGCAATAATTGGCGATCCATCCAAGACCAAAGATTCTCGATCGGATTCAAATCAGGTGATTGGGCGGGCCAGGGCATCACTTGGATCTTCTTCTCTGAAAACCAGGCTTTTATCGACTTGACAGTGTGTGCAGGAGCTCCATCTTGCTGAAAAATCCATTTGCGTCTTCTGAAAAATTCACGGGCTGATGGAATTAAACGCTGCTCCAGAGTTGTTTTGTAGTTATATTGATTGATCCGACCGGTGTACGTATTGCAGAGACCAATACCTTTATGAGAGATGCAACACCAGACTCCTGCCGACCCTCCTCCGCCTTGTGTTCTTGGTAATACCATGCGCATGTCATACTTCTGCCATTTCTTTCTTTTGACATAAACTCGTCCTTTGCGATTTATGACCTCGAAATTGGATTCATCACTGAAAATACACTTCGCCCAATCTTCTACTGACCAACTGGCATGTTCTCGGCACCATTTCAGTAGTCTCAACCGGTCTTGTACTGTCAAAAGTGGCTTCCTAGCAGCAATGTACGAAATGGTTCCTTTTTCCTTTAAATCCTTTCTTACTGTTTCATAGCTAACACTATGATTTCTGATTGAGCCATTGAAATCCTTGGCTAATTCTCAGAGAGTAATTTTAGGTTCGGCATTAACCTTTCGTATGAAGAAGTTTTTGTCTCGGGTACTAAGCTTTTCAGGTCTTTCAGAGTGAGACATATCTTTTACACTCTTTCTCAATTTGTAGTTTTTTATCGTTGTTGAGACGCATTTTCGTGAAACACCCAACTCTTTCGCTATTTGTGTGTCAGATTTATCTGTATTTTGTTTTAATGCAACAATCTGCCATCTAGTTGCATCATCTACTGCTTTTTTGCCCTTTTTTTTTACCAAAAATGTCTGGAAGTACCAACTATCTTAACTTTATTTCTAATTTGAAATTTTTAGAATTTTTTTTTGTAACATATCCTTTATATAGTAGTGAACAAATACACAAAATTTCAAATTTAAAAATTAACAACTTTTTATGATATGTGATTTCAAAGTCATGTGCTAAATTTAATAGATAATTTATATCAGCTTAGAAAATTACCTCTAATTACTTAGTCTTAATTTAAATGCAATTAGCAATTTTTTTATTTCAATTAAAATCATATCTGATAAACAATTAATTTATCTACTCAATTTAGAGAAAATAGTTGAAAAAAATAGATGTTAGGATGTACAGTTATGCAATTGCCAAATGTCTTGTATAGTATATAAATTATTTCAACTTGTAAAACAGAATTGATTCACAGAAAGGATAATATTTAGTATAAAAAATAGTAAACAAGAATTAAAGCCAAAAATTTAAAAAATGAAAACCTTTCTACTAGATAATGTTCTGAAATATCTTGCCATTTTTTCTGTACAACTGTATGGTTTCTTTGTTAACCAATTGTTGACATAGTGTAAAATTGTTGACATTGTGTAAAATCTTATTAATATGCAATTCAATTAAGAAATGTTAATACCCTTTTTTGATAGGAAACAAAAATATTTTTTTAACATCAGCTTAAATATAATTTTTTAAATATGAATATCCTTTGCACCATGATTCACGTGAACAATTAAAAATTATTATGCTTAAAATATAATATTTATCTATACATAATACCAAATCAAAATATGATGTAAAAAAATTAAATGCTAAATTAAATCATTTTTTTTTTAATATATAAAAAGTTAGTTTTCATAAAATTAACTTTTAATTAATATTTTTATTATGTTTTAATGATGGGAAATTTAACTTTTTATATTTATTGCTCTTATTTGTTTGCAATAAAAATGTTTTGTCTACTTTGTTTTTATGCATACATTTTTTTTAACAAAGCATTTTTTTTTATTTTTATGCATACATTTTTTTTAACAGAGCATTTATTTTCATTTTTATGCATACATTTTTTTTAACAGAGCATTTTTTTTTTTTAAAAAAAAAGAGTGGTGACTCAAAATTTCTCTTTAAGATTGTAAACATATATAATGTTGCTATGTTTTTTTTGCTTTTTTTTAATTTGATTCACTACCAACAAGGCTGTAACCAACCACTACTAAGTTGGAAAAAAAACTAGAAGATAAAGGATAAAGTTAAAGAGGTTTAAGAAGGAAACAGTTAATAAAAAACCCTATTTATTGCCACAACTTTTTTTCATACTTTGAAAAAAAGTTGTGGAAGCAAAATAGTGAAGAGTGAGAGTATACACCTTAAATTTATTTGCTAAACTGTAAACAGAAAACTCCGGATTTCTGTCTATAGGATTTTTTTACTTTTTTAACAAAAGTTCGTCAAACAAAAACTTTTTTCTTCCACTTTCTGATTTTCTTTTGATTGTACCAGTGTCCTTAAATCACTATACATTGTCTGTACTGTTCTAAAAGTAATTTGCAACTCTTTAGAAATTGTTTTGTTTGATGCACCAGGATTTTCAGCGAGAAAATGCAAATTTTTTTCTCACCTCACCTTGATTTTATTATATTTCAATTAAAACTAAATGTTTTGATAACTGGGTTGTTTAAATTTTAAATAACACTAATACAATGACATTTTAAAACAATTGGCTATTAAAAAATACTTTTTTTTTTCAATATGCTGATTCACTCCCAACAAGGCTGCAAACAACCACTATTAAGTTGGGAGTTACTAGAAAAAAAGAATAGAATTATAAAGCAAGGTAATGGTTGACAGAAGACTTGAAAGTTGAAGGTTGAGTCAGAAAAACATGAAGATAGCAGAGAGTTCCAAAGAGTTAAAGTGTGGGGAAAAAATAAGGAATAATAAATGTTTTTAGAGCATGCTAGGACAGATACAGTAAATGAATGAGACTTTGCTGAATGATGAGCATCATTAAAAGAACAAACCCAAGTATGACAACAGTATTCTATACAGGGATGAATAAGAGATTTGTATAGGTAGAGAATGGAATGAGGAATAAGAAAATGGCAAGAACAATAAAGAGAAGCAACATCGATTACTAAATTAGCAGATTCTAATATAGTAATCAATTGTATATTGGGTTTCATGAGAGGTCAGTAGTGAATGATAATCCAAGAATTAATAAAAATAAAGGACTCAGTGAGAGGGTTGTCATTCATTAATATAGCAATGTTGACAAAATTGCAATAGTTGTTTGCAGTAAATAACTAAGTTTTGTTGGAGTTAAAATTCACAGGTCACTGCAAGCCCCAAACATCTGTTACAGAAGTGAGATCAAATTCAAACAATCGAAAAGAGATATTTTGTCAAGACAGGTTGAAAAGTTGAATAGTCAGCAAAT